CTGCATCCTCCTGTGCAACCCGGTCTTCATCCTCCACTTCATCCAGCTGAGGCAGAACCTGTTCGCCATCTTCTTGGTTGGCGGGATCTTCATCACCTCCTTGGTTAGCTGGTTCATGTTCTTCATCTCCTCGATCATCAGGGCGGTGTTCATCATCCTCGGCTGGACGATCTCCATCTCCCCCCAAACCAGGCAGCTTTGGAATGGCCACCGTTGCCACCATGATGTACTTCGACTTCGTGCCCAAGCCCACATCATCTCCCAATGGCATTGGCCCCAGAATGTCATAGGACAGGCAGTGAGCTGATCGATCTCCTGACGTCCTCCGGTGTGGCGCATCTACGCCCATCAGTTCCATGCATCGCCGACAGTCCCTCCTGTAGGGTTGATGTTGGTTCTGCACATGGGTTTTCCAACTTTCCGTGCTCATACGCTTCACTCCAGGTTCGCGGTGAGGCCCGATTTCATCCGCAAGCCACCTGCGAATGTAGTCCAGGAGGAAGTTCTTCAAGCACTCCTTCACCGCCGCCACCAAGCCCGGTGCCCAGGCCGACCACTCCCTCGATTGGGCCAGTCTCCCAGTGAGCCATGTCGCTTCCGCTTCCCCTCGACCTTCTCCAGGTACACCATCTAGCTCCTTCATCTGGGGCAGATTGGCGACCATCAAACATGTTGGTTTCCTCTTGACATGGCCCATCGGCCCCTGATCCATAGCCAGCAAGGACGCGCCCATCAGCTCTGCGGCCTTCTTCACCTCCTTGAAGTTCCAGAAGCTTGGCATGTCCTCCTTAGTGGCCTCCTCCGGCATGTAGTCCATTGGGTCTCTTGGCGACTCCATCAGGAATCCGGGCTCTGGTCGTTCTCCACGATGTTCATCAGCGAGGAGCCAGAGACCGATCTGTTTCATCATCAAAGCACAATCGCTGAGGGCCAGCTCCTGCTCCGGCAAAGACAATCCCTCCAGCATGAACCGACGGTCATCTCGACCTCCCAAAGGGCGTGGACCAGGAGCCCGGTGCCTAAGTCGTGACACCGTGCGGCAGGGCGGTCCTCCCAGCACAGCTACCACCAGTCCTCGTCGAGCTAGGTGACATAGATATTCCCAGGTTCCAATGCCATGGAGGTCAAACTGTGCGCCCATCGTCACATCCACATTCAATATCTCGAAGCCACCCCAGTCCGTCTTGGACCAACTCTTGTAGTCCTTCCCGGCAAAGAGGTTGACAATCACACCACGAGACGCCAGGTGATTCCATGGGCAGGTGCAAGCATCATAGCTGTCCTGGCCTCCGCGGGGACCTCAGGGAACCTTGATGACCACCACGATCGAACTTCATCATCAGTGAAGATCTCCCCCCGATCTGCCTTCTCCATGATGCTGAGCAATTCCAGCGCCTTGGCTTCAGGTAGAACCGGACATCCTCCACGAAGCGCGCAGTCAATTCTGCCATGATCAGGGTGATTGATCTTCACTCCAGCCGCCGTCCACTGAAGTCGATACCCCAAACCCACCAGTCGATGGAGCGGGACAATGACCTCCACATGGTCCTTGGACAGCAAAGTCCTGAACAGCGTTGTTGAACCTGAGGCCAACTCGACCCTCACCGGGTACATTTTCTCCAGCTCCTGTTGGTGCGCTCGACGAAGGCCATTAGTCGCTCCCCCATCCAGTAGTCGAACAGGCACCAAACCATCAGTGCCCACCGGCTTCAACTCCTTCACGCGAAGAACCTTCATGCTCCGAAGTGTCTTGAGCAAGGACGTTGCCTCAACTCCGCCGTGGATTCTCGACCCAGTGGCTTGTCAGGTGTCTCCGCCATTCTTGAGGTGGTCGTGGTGGGAGACGGTGATGACCCCAGAGACGGCTCCTCATTGGCGGGCTGCTCCTTGGCGATCTTCTCGACAGTCTCCCCTTTTTCTCCCTCTTTTGTGGCTTTCACCTTTGACACCTTCTTCGGGTCAGTCTTTCCAGTTTTAGGTTGGTGAGGACATTCACGCTTCATGTGGTTCCCACCGCAACCAAAACATCGATTCTTCATGTCCGAGGTGTCGTGGACGTAGGTGCACGAAGCGCCCTTCTTACACCCCTCCTCCGACTTCCAAAACTTGCAAGCGGGCCTTCCCGTTGCTCGCTCTTCATTCTCGGCTGCTCCAAATGACGATGCCATAGCCTTCAGTGACGTCGAGGCCGATTGATTGGACGAGGCAGCCGCTTGAGCCAGCGGTGCACCACCCTTATGAGCAGCAGTGAGGGACATCTCTTCGATCTCCGCCTGCACATACTCAGCCAGCTCAGTGACTCCCTCCAAGGAAGCTGCATAGTCAACTCGGAGTTCTTGCCGAACATTTGAGATCCTGAATGACACTTGAGTGCCTCCTGCTTTTTGGGTGCTGTCGATCATGCGCTGCAGGGCGTGCATGAGGACCAGAGGGTCCGGAAGGTTGAGGTGAAGTTCTTGTGCACGGGATAGCCAACGTCGCCACAACCGGACCTGCGTCAACAATTCTCCCACCGATGTGGAGAACTTCGACTCCACTAAATTCTTGAGGAGTTGCGTTTTTTCAGCGCCGCCCCCCGGCTGGTACGCCACATGGAGCCTGTACAAGATGTGCACCACAGACAGCTGCCTTCCAGACACCAGGTCCCGACGAAGCTGATCAGGTAGTGCTCCGAGCAGCATGGCAATTCCACGCTGTTCAATTTGTTGAAACGCTGGATCCACTTCGACCTGTGGCTTCGATCTCAACCTCTCCAGTGGGCTCAGTCGCAGCCAGCGCGAGTAGTGCTCCTGAGCGACCATCAGTGACTCCTCCCACCAAGCCTTCGCCGAGTTGGAGATGTCCGCCATCAACGGAAAGGCCATGGTCAGCCAGTCGCCGAAGAGGATCGAGGCTCCTTCTCCATTGGGTGCTGGTAGTGATGGTAGTTCCAAATTCCGCAGGGCCTCAGTCGTCGATGCCACGGGGAATCCAGCACCAATCCTGGTCACCTTCCCAGCACCACCACCAGGGTTCGCACTTTGACCATCTAGGTAACCACGAGGTTTCGCCCCCTCACCCACACTGTTCACCGATTCGAAGGTGGATGACTCTCCACCACCTGTCAGCCTCTTGACCTCCTTCTCGAAGTTCAGATGGGCCTCTCGAAGGATGCGCTCCCGGATGGCCTCCAGTTCCTGAGCCGTTGGACTTCTCTTCGCCTCTTCACTAGGGGGTTGAGGTCGCTCAGAACGGGATCCCATATCAGGTGTACGACCACGATCGCTCCAAAAAGGATTGGTCTGGTGTGGACATGTCGTAGGGCTCTAATACTCTGGGTTGAGGACCAACTTCAACATTCATGCCACCTCGCTCCGCTCTTGGCGGGATTGGAAATTGAGGCGATGAGCTCTTGGGTGCTGCCCGCTGCCAAGCCCCTTGCCCTCCAGGTTGTCCTGGGTCGTCAGCTCGAGGGTGTCCCGGATCGTGGCCATGAAATAATGGTCCAAGAAGTCCATCAGGAGGCGGAGGTCGCACCGGCATCGGTCCTTGGGGGGTTTGTCCAAGGGCCCTTTGCAGCCAGCCGGCTCCTCTGTCATGCCTCTCAGGGGCATAGGTCTGCCGCCTGCCATCAGCTCCGCCAGCCGCTGCCGAGGATCTCCGCCCTTCGATAGCCGCAGGAGCCCCACCCACTCTCTTCACAGCAGGTGGCATTGATGTCGCTCTTGCCTCCTCTAGGAGGGTGTCCAGCCTTTCATCCGCTGCGCCCACACAAAGTTGCCCTCCTTGATCACCAGGATCTCTCAGCCGCCCACCTCCTCCGCTCATGGGGACCAGCTACCTCAAATGAGGGTGGACTTCAGAAAACTCTTGGGCTCATAACCTGTGGTTATGGAAAAAGCCTCAAGAGCGACCGACCGAAAAAAGACAGCCGCTCACGTTGTTCCTTGAGCCAAACGCAGGGCATAGGTATCAAAAAAATAAAAAGAGCGTCAAAAAAATAAAAACAGGATCAAAAAAATAAAAAGCGAATCAAAAAAATATTCCTTGATAGGCCTCTTCTGCTGCTCTCCTGGCCTTGTGGTCTGCGGGTCCTCTGGTAATGTGGTCCCTTGGTCCTTTGGTCCCTTGGTCCTCTGGTCCACTGGTCCTTTGGTCCCCTGGTCCCTTGGTCCTTTAGTCCACCGGTCCCCTAGTCCTCCGGTCTCCTGGTCCTTTGGTCCTGTGGTCCGCTGGTCCCCTGGTATCCTAGTCCTTCTGTCTCCTGGTCCGCTGGTCTTTTGCTCTCCTACGGCGCTCGTCTGTCGATCTCCTGGTCCCCTGCTTGCGCAAATAGAGGCTTGATTGCTTTCTACTAGAGGCAGCTCCCTGGGAAGAAAGTAGGTACCCAACGATAAGGTTGCCGTCCAGTCATTGAGTAGCCCTACTCGAAAAGTGGTTCACCAGTGGAAATAGCTCCCTACTAGGAGGGAGCTCCTGGGGAGGCACACTCTCCTCTACTACCCCAACCATCCTCAGTGGGCTAGAATATTTTTTTTTTGATTACCTTTTATTTTTTTTATTGATCCCCGTTGAATATTTTTTTGATTCTATTTTTATTTTTATTTTGATCCCTTACCCTGGCAGGTCGTTTTGACCAGTGGTTCACCTTTTTCAGGTGTTCATGACCTTCATGAAAAGGTATGCTTTGGGTCGTGTGTCTTTTCCATTCACAAAATCATTATAATTCCTGGGATTTGGACTTTGGCAGCGGTTCGTGTGGCTTTATTGGTGTTTTGCGTGCGGGGGAAAGCTCTTGGAATTTCATGAACACTCCGATCACTTTTGCATATATATATATACACACACACCACGAAAAGCCCCGCAGTCTATTGGCAGTCGTTGAATTTGACAGGTTTCGACCTTTTTCATACCTTTTTCCCTTCCTGCAAACTGGCCGAAAGACCCCGACTCCTTTGCAGTAAAGGTCCACGCCCCACGGACCCTCCGAACCCCCGGAGGATCGCCGGTCGTCGACGCAGGACGACATCCCGGCGGCCATGGCGGCCCTGCGTGCGCGGAAGCGGAGGAGCACCTTTCGGGGGCGGAAGAGCACGTCCGCCCTGGAGGAGACGCCCGAAGGCACGCCAGCCGCGCCGTGCGTGCACGGCTTTTTACTTTCGCTTTTGAGAACGCATCGAAAAAGTAGGAGAAGTGGAGTGTGGAGTGTGGTGGCGTGGTGGTGTGAGAAAGAGGGAAGACTTGAAGATTGTGGAGAAGCTAAGCGTGAGAAAGGAGTCCTAAAGCACCTTTTGATCATTTTCATGGACTTTGAGCACCTTACCTAGGGCGGTGGTTTGCGGAGTTGATCTTTGACGCATTTTGACGCACTGCAACCCGTGTCCCGCACGCCACTTTTGACCGGCCTCAGACTCTGCGCGGCATTTTCCAGTGTTACCCTTCGCCACTGAAGAGCTCTTCGACGGGCAGGACCGGAGTGCCCAGAGGTCGCAGAAGTCAGGGAGGTCAAAAGCGGCAGAAAGAGGGAAAAGGAGAGGAAGAGGAGGAAGAAGAAGAAGAAGAAGAATAGGTGAAAAAGGGTCTCTCAAGCGTTCCTTGGCTCCAGACTTTCTGCTTTTTCGGCGGTGGGTGGTGGGGTTGGGCAGGGTGCGCAGCCGTATATGTAAAACTATATGTATATAACCTGGGAACTGAGTGGTCAGTTGGTGATTCAAGACCTCAGCTCCCTTTGCAGCACCTGGTCTTGTTCCCAAGAGGCTTCAGTGACGGCAGGCAGACGGTGATGACTCAAGAGTGCTGGAACAACCTTTCAGAATTTTTCCCTGGAGTCCTGGAGGGTTCTGTCTCAAAGATGCTGAAGATGCTTGAATCTTTCAAGGACTAACCCTTCATGTTTCCAGAACCACGAAGTCCTGCGCTCCACCGCCAGGAGGGCTCCTCCGGCACTCGAAGAAGCACGCCTTCAAAGCAGGTGGACTGGCCGTCGCCCACTCCGCAGCACAGGCGCGACAAGCACAGCGAAGCACAGCGATGGCTGAGAGATCCAAAGCTTCAAAGGCTATCAAAGCCTTACGGTCCAAGGTATACAGTTGGATGAAACAATATAAATCACGACCTCCGTGGAAAGGTGTAGGAAGGCCTATCCTCCCGTGTAAAGAGAAGTGTACATAGCATTCCAGGAACTTGTTCATCAACCATCATGGGCCAGCGTTCCTTCGCACCCGATCACTTGGAAGAGGTGCGATGGCGAACCAGAACAGACCTAGCTTGCATCAGAAAAAAGAAGCCCTTTGAGAGATCCAGTCCCACTTCCTGGTACAAAACCCTGGCCCCTAAAGAGCTTTCTACCTCAATATGCACACCTCCTTGGCTTTTGGGGCGGCCCACCTTCGCCCTGGTGAGGACTCCGCGGGGCCTGCGGCCGAAGGACAGCCGCTTCAACGAGTGACCCGCCTGTGACGGTCCAAGCAGGAGGTTTGACGTCACCATGGCACCACGGATTCTCGTATAGGTCAAACCCTTATAGGGTGACGTCACCCAGGCTTAGTCCTCAGTCTTTGGACTTGTTCGTGGCGAACCGTGACGGAGCGTCGCGGTGACGCCAGCAGAGAACAAGCACGCCTGCCTCTGCAAGTGTTTACATGGCTGGAGATGCGTCGGTTTGTACCCGACATCTGCAAACACGCACAAGTTGGTGTGTGACAGTTCTTGTGGGTCCTTTCCCTCAGGTCGTCAGAGAGGTTAGAAGTTGGACTCTTTTCGCCTTTTCGCCGCGGAGACCACCTGGCCCCTGGCCTGGCTGGGTAGACTCCGTCTTTCCTTCTTCCAGTGGATGCTTTGGACCCCAAAAGCGTTCTGAGAACGAAAGACAGCGGGAGGATGTGTCTGACGATTCCGAAGGGCGAGAGGTCGGGATCGGATTTTTTTGCGAGTGCATCACGTGGATCTGAGGCAGATTCTGGTCCTGCGAAAATGGACATCCAGGACAAAAACAAAAGAGCAATTACAAATAAATTGACGTGCGGAAGGTTGGTTGATCCTTTGCAAGATCCACATGGTTGTGGATCAAACCTGGAGCAGCCAGGCTGGCCCATGATAGGCGTCAACTAGGTCCGGGCCTTTCCATGTTTGCGTCAACTAGGTTGGTGGCGTTCAGACAATTGCACAAGTATTGGTGAGTGGTCAATTAAGGGTATTCGTCTGCTGGTGGCCATGACCCACTTGCATTATCACTTCTAGAGAAAGAGGACAATCACCTCAACAACCCAACAACCGAATAGGCCAACAAGCCTTTGATGAGTTCCTTTTGCTTTCGGCTCCTCAATGAAGGACACGACTGCTTCGCTGAGCCAACAACTTTCGCCAGCCCGAACACCTTCGGTCGGAACTTGGGGTCCGGAGCTCCCGTCCCCCGGCGGTCCGTCGCGCTGGACGAGGTACCCCTTCATCACCGACCTCTTCGACTACTTCGGCTGCTGCACACGCCGGCAGAGCGAGCCCAACTGAGCGGTTTCGCCACCCGGGGCAGGTCGGGGGGGGTTCAGGCGGAGCCCAGGCCGTGCGTGGCGTGGGTTCGCAGCGAGTCGCTGAAACTGTGGGTGGTCAAGGTGCCAGGGCGTACCTCGGTTGAAGAAGAAACCAGCGTGTACCTTGACGCTGGATTCTAGAAGACTCTTGGTGAAGAAGAAACTCTCAGTCTTTTGGATCGTAGAAATTTCATGGGCGCTTACTGGGTTTTCCTGAGTCTTTGATTGACTGAGTGATATTACACAGTTTGGCGAGTGCCATTTGACCCTGTCTGTCCCGCGGGCTTTAGATCACTTGAATTTTTGTTAAAGCATGTTTTTACCAACCATGTGCTGATACCGACCAAGGATTCCAGGTGCACCAGAAGGCTTCCACTTAGATACTCCCCCTGGTTCGGAGTTTTCATCAAACTCTTCACCGACTCAGTACTCTGGAGCTACACGCTCCAGGAGGCTTGCCCCGCTCGGGCGTCGTTTCACTTCCCAAATTCCGCTGAAGCGACCCTCTTTCGGCGCCGAGGCTTGAACTCCCAAACGACGAGCGAAGCCCAGAAACAGTCCAAAAAGCATGCCAGGACTCATTCAAAAGAACCAAAGGGCGTCAGTTGGCGACCCTGACCCTGAATGGAGAGACTCGGCCAGCTAGACTTCGAGGTCGGGAAGTCCGTTCTGGGCTTCGATGAGTTGTTTGGACTGAGGCAGACCACAGCACATTCATAGATTCAAGGAAAAAGGACGCATTCCGTGCACGCGACTTCTTGTGGCGCGTGTGCGTTATTGGCCGTGGCCCTTGGTTGTGTGGTGGTGGATGGCACATATCCAACGCCGGAACTGACATGATCTTTCCAGTCTCAGCAAGAGATCAAGGTCCGCACGCCACAGCGTTGTCCATGGTTATCCCATGGTTGTCCATGGTTTCTCTCACGAAAGGCCTCTTTGGGTGTATTGTACTTTAGAAAGACGAGAGTCTCACAAAGACAAAAGACGATTCTTCTCAGAAATGGGGGCGACCTTGATGACGCATTCATAAGAAGCGAGTGGTCTTGGAGGGTTGAAATAAAGATGAATGGCCAACGCTGGTTTGGAAGACTATTTTCTTCTACTCTCGGTGGACTGTCACTTCCTATTAATGTTGGATTTTGGAAAGCCTACAGTAGTCTTAATGAAGTGTAGCTTGTTGCTGGAGGAGGTTTCTTTCTCAATCTAGAGTTCGCCCCCTTTCGATGGTAAAAATGCGAGGATCAGACTTTGCCCAATACACATGCACTACCATCTGACGCGCGGGGCATGAAGCTGTGATTGGAACTTGTTTGAAGTTGCAGTTGGATGGTGACATCACTTGTGCCAGGATGAGATTTTTGCCCAATTCACTCTACCAACGCAGAACTTGCTGTTGAAGCTAAGCACATGC